GTGCCCACCGCAGTTCTACCGCGGTCGCGGTAGAACCGCGGTCAAACGCCATCGCGGAATCTTCAAACTTCAGAGACTGCCTTCCACCGCGGTTTCACCGCGGTCGCGGTAGAACCGCGGTGGAACTTGTACCCGGGCATTTTGGCCTGTTTTGAATGGGTTACTTGGGAAATTCAACAATTAGCCTCTTTTTATCAATAGTTGACTCCAAAACCGCTCCTTAGCCTTCCTTACACCTATATCACCTGCAAATCATGAAAAGCACTAATAAGAGCATTTTGTTGTCATTTTCCACATTAAAAGTTCACAAGAAAGTGATTATTTGGTGCGTGATTATAGTCAAATTCACCTATTATCAGCATTCATCTACAAAGCTTGGGCAGCATCATGCAGCTATAAAACTGCAGCAGGGAAGGCAAGAGCTGAACGTTATTTCTAGGAAAAGCATCTTTTGTCAGTCTTCACACTAACACTTTGTTTGGATCATTGTTCCCTATCGTTTTATAATGTATCGTATCGTATCGTATCGTATTGTACCGTATCGTTTTATGAATACAATGTTTGGATAGATTGTATTGTTTGTTATTGTTAAATAATATTTTGTTGTTTGGTTTGACTGTATCGTACTGTACTGTAACTGATAAGTTTACTAAAATATCCTCAATTGTTTAAATATTAAATTTATCAAAATTATGCATAAAAATAATTTTAAAAAACAAAACAGAAGAAGGTAAAACACAATAAGGAAGCAGAACAAAGGAGCGAGATAGAAAAAGGCAAAACAAAGGAGCACAACTAATTAGAATTGAGTTACAAGCAAATTAGGAGAAAAAATAAAACAGGAGGCAACAAAACACCTTTAACATTGGTCTGGAAAAAACAAAGTAGGTTATAAGTTGGAGATTTGGAGTTAAAATAGAAAAAAGATAAATGGTGAAATAGAATTATGGAATAATAAGTTAGGGCATAATTGGAAAGAAAAATAGGAAACAATCCCAGCACACCAAATCGGTTGTTTCAAAAAAGGGGACTTTTCATTGTTCCGGAACAATAGATTTAACAATACAATACAATCAATTTTAATGAAACAATCAAAACAAACATTGTTTTGAGATAACAATACAATACAATAATACGAGGAACAACCATCCAAACAAGCTGTTAGTTAAGGTATTAGAAAATAGAGTCTGATCCATTAAGAGCCATTATGATCCTCGTCAAGGAATACTTGGGTGGTGTATATTTGGATATGGAATACATGTGACATCTGATCTAAGAGTCAAGCTGATATTGGACATTGACATCCTTTCGTTGGTAATCCTGTTTTGCCTACTAGAGGCAAAAAAGGTTATTTGATTTGCAGGAATAAGCGATTTGGTTCATGGTATCGTTGTACTTGTGCAAAAACGTGAGAAATGGTTTCAAGATAGCGGAATGATAGATGAAGATATCAGTGGCGGCATGGGCGAAGCCACCTTTTCGCCGAAAAATTACACTGTGTATATAAGTAAAATATTGATTTTAGACGTGACACCCCTTGAGCTAGGATTTTTGGACGTGACACCCCTTGAGTGCATGTGGCTCCGCCACTGGAAGATATTACTCATAGAATTAAAACCGGATGGTTGAAATGGAGAAGTGCTACCGGGGGAGTTATGTCATATAAGGACGCCCACCAAAGTGAAAGACGAGTTCTATATAGTAGTTATAAAGCTGATATTGTTATATGATAGTGAATGTTAGGTCGCTTAAGTTCAATATATCCAAAAGATGAGTGTTGCGGAGATGTGAATGCTAATAAGATTTTAAAATGTCATTCGCCAGAAGGTGCAAGTAGCAGGGATTGAGGATAAAATAAGAGAAGGTTGTTTGAGATGGATTGGTCATGTCCTGAGTTGACCTCCAAATGTACCGGTTCGTAGGTGTGAAATTATGGTAAGTTAAGGTGTTAAAAGGGGACGAGGTAGACCTAAAATCACATGGAAAGAAGTTGTGTCGAAAGACCTACAATTTTTTGTAATCAATGCAGACTTAGCTAAAGATAAGGCACAACGGAGGAAAAAGATTGATATAGGCGGGAATAGGTTTTAGCCTTGTTAGTACCTTGTTTTTGGTCCTCTTGCTTTTCTATAATGATTATTCTACTAGTTTATATATATTAAACTTGTTTTTCACTCATTATTCTATATGGTGTGATGATGACGTGAGTTGAGCATAAATGGAGAAACATGATTAATAGATTCATATAGCCTCTCCCAACTTATTCGGGATTGACGTGTGGTTGTTGACTTCTTGTTATTGTTGTTGATTGCATACTTAATCTACTCTTCCTTTTCTATTTCAGGATTCTAGAAGGAGTTCAATCTCAGGGAGATTCAGAATTTTTTCAGAGAGATGTTGTTAACTGCCAGTACCACTATGAGTGCACCTACTTTGCCAATAGGTATGTTTGTGTATATTTCTTGACTGATTCCTTTTAATAAGTACCTCTACATGTATTTAAAGGAATGCCAGATTACTATTTTTTCATGTAATTAGGAGCACACAATGAAAACTTTCATATCCTTGTTCATGTCAAACATTAATCTATTATATATCAGCTTCTCTTGTTGTTATCTCACTGAGAAGCCTTTGCCGCATTAGATGTAAGAATATCTGAATAGCCATCAGAACATGACAATAAGAAATGATCCTTTTATAAAATTGCAGCTGTTGTTCTGCATATAATATTTGACTGTTTTAGCACTCTTTTTCTCTCCATGAAAACATAAATTTGCACTCACCAACATGTTGAAATACTTTCTTACTGCAAATCAGTAAAAGTGTTTATGATTTATCATCTAGCTTTCTTGAATTTTGGTGTTGTTCAACTCCTTGGAAGTCTAGATGCATCCTTTGCCCTAAGTCAAAAGCTTTTGTCTTTGAGTTTACTTGTGAAAAGAAACACTTAAAAAATAAAAAAGCTCATCTTTGATTTTCTGGTTGACTTGATGTGATGCTGTTAGTTTCTGAAGTAACTGAATCAAAAAAATTATGTTTAAGGTTTGATATTAAAGTATCAAAAGATTTGATACTTTAAAATCCATCGTTGGCAAAACCATTTGAAGATTTGCTGCTCATCCTGCAGCTTGTTAATCGTTGGATGTTGTTGTCACAGTGAGAGCAGACGCTGAATGCCTGAAGCAAATCAAGCCAATAGTATCTGTTGGCCTCCAGCCGCTTGGCATGCAGTCTCAGTTTATTAACAATGGAAGACACTTGATATGTCCTGTTCAAGAAAAACGCGCTTCAATAATATGTGTTGCTGCTCTGGTAACATTACTTTGGGTATTACTGTTTGTGTAACTGCTAGCATTGCCCTGTTTAGCTAATTACATGCCCTAATGATTCTAGTGGATTAGTCGTACTTGTCATGTCTTATATATTAATTCTGTGCGACGTCTGCTGTGAGAAGCTTCAGAGATTCGGAATGCTAGTGTAAATAGTTGCTCATGGCATAAGTTATCACATTGGACTATGTCTCCTTCTGCAGTCAGTATATTGGAAACAACTGTACTCACTAAAACAAGTACCCTAAACTCAAGCTGGTTAGCCTCTCTATTTGCGACTCGTTGTTTATAGATATGGATTGGTAAAATGTGGAAATATATCCTTGTTTGTTACTTGAAAGTGGTAGTGTTATGCATTTCTAGTTACAGACAATTGGAAATAGGATCTACCAAAACTTTTGATCTGGAAAAAACAATGGGAATTAGGACCAGAATCATGGCATAAGTTATCTATATTGATGTTCTTGAAGCTGCATTAGTTTTGGTTTTTAATTTTCTGCATCATTCTAGTAACATTTATTGCCACTAGTATTCCCTGTTCAACCTTTCAATTCTGCATTTATGCAGAGAGCCAGATGTGCAACTAAAGGCCAGATGCAGACTCTTACAAAGGAAAATTCAACCATTACAGTTGCACCAGGTAATTTTTTTCACGTTCTTTACGGAAACCTCCAAGGGTCTTTCGGAAAGAGCCTCTCTGGGTAAGGTCTGCGTATACACTATCCTCTCCAGACCCCACAACAGAAACTGGTGGAACAAAATGAATGGAAATAAAACAATCCATATTTTACATGTTAGCTATTTTCACTGTTATGCTATGGTTAGTGGTGACCGCATCCCGCCCTGTTGATTTAGAAAGCAGTGTTATTAAAAGTCATTGTTTTGTTGCTTAAAACGATGCACAATGCCACTCTGCACATTTTTCAGCAATTTTATCCACCAAAAATGAGAGCCGTGCTTATATTCTACAAAGATCCTGTGCAAGTAATCATTTGATGCTGATATGTCTGGGTTTGAATGCAGGGAAGGAGAAATCGTCCCTGATCTCGAGACGATGGTGGGGCTGGGTTTCCCCCTGTGATGATGATGGCAGCGTGTGGCGGTGCGGGGGTGGGGATGGGATTGGGGGGGGGGTGGTGGAGGCCATTGGGCAGTGGGGTGGTGGAGGCCGCTGGCATTCTTCTTTTTGTTTTTCTCATCATCCTAGGCTTCTTGAAGGATAAGGAGGAAGAAGGACCCTACCGGGACCAAAGAAGAAGAAAACCAGCATATTGATACATAGAATCGAAATAATTATAGAAATCAGGGATTTGCAATAAATGTTCTTTTAGTAAATCTATTTTGCCCCTAGATTAAACCTTATCACATAGTATTTGCCCTTATGTTTCTGTAAATCAAAGCTATTTTGGTGCTCTTTTTTGGAAAATGAATGTGGTCCCTGTAAGATATGTGTGTTACTTTTTCACAACTCCCTTTGCCTCTATTGTAATCTCTTTACCTGATCTATTATCTTCATGCATTTTTGTAATTTGGAGACAAATAATCAAATAAAATAGAATACAACCAAATATTGCATTAAACTATGAATGAAGCAGTTTCAGTGTACAAACTTCAAGGATGTAGAAAATTACAGAAAGGTTGCTGGTACTAAATGCATGAATCAAAGGCATATATCACCAAAATCCACTAGATATAATTATTGAAAAAGCAACCACATTTCTATATCTAGGAGTATTGTTCTTCAGCACTTACTTGATTCGTTCTCTATGTAAGTTCATTTGTGATGAAATCTTTTTCTTACCCTAAGGCTAGGCTTAAGCTTATTCCTGTCAGTTCCTTCGCTCTCTTTCAATTGTGTCTTGTAAAACATTTATTCTCACTTTCCCTTTCAAGATGTCATAGTACTCCACTGGCTTCTTCCTATACTCTGCAGAGATTTCCTGAAAGCACAAGTCAAAATCTCCTGTCAATACTCAATTGTAACTTTTTAGCAGTTAGTTGGTTGGGGTGGGTGGTGTTATGGTATAGATGGAGGAGATTACCTCTATCATACTAGCTAAATGCAAGATTGTAGCTTCACACCACGGACGGCCAATAAGCTGCAAGCCTATTGGAAGTCCTTGCTTATCATAGCCAATCTAAGAATATGAAAAAACAGAAGAGAAAGAAAGGTAAATTGGAACACATGTTGACTGACAATTGACATCCACATCTTGTAGAATAATTATGATCCTACATTGTTAGCCATCAAGAGACATCTTAATGTTAAAGGAAACAGACGTTATGCAAATACAGATGGAGAAGTTTTGAAAAGAGATAGAGTTCAGTCGTCTATTTTTCTGCTGCATGTCAAAATTAAATGGAATCCCTTTGACAGTAAACTAGCATGTAGAAAGCACCAATACATCTATTTTGATATTTTCACTAAGCCCTGGTTTTCTTGTAGCTACGCACTTCATGTTCCTACAAAAACCCGATTCATAAATCCTCTACCACATATATAGAAACTTTAAGGACATCCAAAAGAATAGTGTGATCTGGGAGTCATAATACTTTTATCTTATTTCATAGTCAATCCATGAGCGGCCTATCATGTCCTTCCTCTATCTAAAGCAAATTAGCTGCTACTAAACGAAGAATGGTATACTGAAATTTCAAAGGCTAAAAGGAGATCAAGCTAGCAATAGGAAATGGAATCAGAACAAAGTAGAGACTCGACATGCTACAGGAGAGAAAATAGTTAATGATGTGGCTTTCAAGAGGATGTGGAAGTGGCACAACAGAAAGTGTCTGACTGAGAAGTTCCATCCATACTGAACTACAGAAAAACCTAGCAAAGCTATTTTTGTAATAAATTGATCTCGGAATACAGAGGCCACATATAAATGGATGCTCCAAGTTTTACCTATTTCCCCACAAAAAAGAAAAATGAAGAATCCAAAAAGCTCTTTTTAATAGTCAATCAAAACGAGGAATATCTTTTTCTGATTTTGTAAAAACATCTCTTCACATCTTCAGTTTTTTTCAGACAAACATTTTCTGGTCTGGTTAATGTGAATAAAGAGAAGAATAAAATTTCCACTTACACGACCGGTTTCAACATAATTAGTGAGGATTTGCTGAGGGAAATCAAAATCGGCACTTATTCCTTCCTAGAATCCCATATTCAACGATTTCTTGGCGCAATATCTTATATATATGATAGATCTATTGTAATATTATTAGGTTGAAATGCTTAGAAACTTGTTTGCATATCATCAACATGCAGGTCCTTCCATTCCAAATCCTTTTCTGAGATTTACTCTCAGTGGACTGCCTAACAGGAAAAAGATGAACATCACTTACAGGGACAGAAATTGCTGGAAGCCCGAGAACGTTTGCTGTTATAGCAAATTGCATTAGGCTTGCTGAAAAGAATAGCAAAGAGTAAGTATTAAGTAGTCTAAAATAAAGTTACATCATCAGGAAGTGCTCATCGTAACAAAAAGAAATGTAGTAGTATTGAGAATATTGTGCGAGATAGAACGCTTCAGGACTTCCAATATCGAAGTACAATACCTGTCTTCAACGCATGCAAAAATCAAATTTTGGGTTATAACCCATCGAATAGCCCAAAATTGACCCGCCCAACTTTGACCCAAGCAAACTTTGGAGGGGTTATGACCCAACTCGTTTATTAGTTCAACCCGTTTTGACCTTCCCAAATATAGGCCAACCGGCCTATTTGACACCCTAGATGCAATCCGTAGAAACATCCAGGCTTAAAAGAATCTTTTTGCCGCTAAACCACAAAATTGGTATTTGTGTCCCCAAGCTCTGCCAGAGTATCTCAGGAACTATTAACCACAAAGTAATAAAATGATGTTAACCTACCTACAACTTGCAAATTTGTCTCTCCAACTGCAGGAGCACTTTCTGGAAGTTCTGGAGCTGTCATTCTGGAAGAATAAAAATAGAAGTTATGAAATCAAGTGTGTAGTCCAGAATCAGATTAACATAATGACAATTTACACACAGTATTGGTCCAGCTGCTTCAGTTGAAAAAAAAAAAAATAGATGTAATTTACTGGGGACCAAATTCAAAAATATTATGTTCTATGATAGAAAAGCCTTTTTTCAGAAGCTTCAGAGTTGCATACTAATGCTTCTAAGTCTAACATCTATAATGCAAACATGAAGCAACAAGAAGTGAATGATTTCTGTGAAATGACTGGCTACAATAGAGGTGTCTTGCCTTTTAGATATTTAGGGGTGCCAATTTCAGCAAAGAAAATATCGGCTGTGGATTGTGAAATGCTGGTGGATAAGATGTGTGCTAGAATAAGAGTTGGGGTACTAGGAACCTATCCTATGCAGGGAGGGTTCTATTAATTAACTCAGTACTAATGCATATCCATACCTATTGGTCCTCTATCTTTATACTCCCTAAGAAGATTCTAAAGAGCATTACAGCTATCTGTAGGAATTTTTTATGGGATGGTAAAGTGAATACGAATAGAGTTCCTTTAGTAGCTTGGGATCTTATCTATAGGCCTAAAATAGAAGGGGGACTTGGGATCATTGAATGTGAGGTGTGGAACCAAGCAGCCATTGCTAAATTTCTTTGGAACATAGCAAAGAAAGCAGACAATCTATGGGTAAAATGGGTGAATCACATATATTTGAAAGAGAAGGACTGGTGGGAGTACCAACCCCCAAACGACTGCTGTTGGTACTGGAGAAAGATCTGCTCCATTAGAGACCAATTTGCTGCAGGATATACACAACAGGGGTGGCTAGTAGCAAATGGAAAGTACACAACGAATAGTGGATACAAATGGAAACAAGGAAGAAGAGACAACTGGGGCAATGGTAGATGGGTGTGGGACAGGAATAACATCCCAAAGCATAGCTTCATTTGTTGGTTAGCTATGCATAGAAGGCTCCTAACGAGATAGACGCTGGCAAAGTTGGGGATATGTCAAGAAGACCATTGTGTCATATGTGGGGAGGAAGCTGAAACAATAGATCACCTTTTCTTTGAGTGTAAATATTCCAGGAGCTGTCTAAATGGCATATTAGAATGGTTGAATATAAGACTGCAGCAACACAGAATAGGAGGCATCTGGAGAAGAATGACAAGGAACATAAGGGGCAAAGCGTGCAGATCAGCTGTAAGTACAGCCTTGGCAGCGACAATCTATCATATATGAAAAGTCAGGAATGATGCTTTGTGGAATCAAAAAGTGCTCAGACCTCAAAAGATAGTAAGCACTATTAAAGAAGAATGCAGGATGAAGATACATGCAATCATGGAACATAGGACTACATCGAGAACACAGAAGCTGTGGATAAAGAAGTTAATGTAATTTGCTTAATGAATATATAGGAAAGATATATAAACACAGGTTAAAAGATAGAATAGGAAGGGGAAGTAATGGGAAGGAATTTCTGTAAATTAATTCTTGTAAATTTCTGTGCTGGTGATTAATAAAGATTTCTCATTTCACCAAAAAAAATGATAGAAAAGCCTCAGTATGTGCCATATGAACATATACATATCGATTTGATCTGGAAACTCCACGGGTGAGGATAGTCAATGGAAATCCTCTGTAGATCATAACATCAGACAAATGTCATTCTGATCATCAAGCTAAAATATATGGTACAAGCTTGTGACTCCTCCCAAAAGGCTAAAATATGGGGTACAACTATAAGGACACGAGTATCCTAATCTCCAGTACTCTTATTGGATCATTCATTGATTAGACACTTTCCACGTGAAGTGAAAGGAAACATATAACTCCTATTTTGCACCAATCATCTATAATTTTTGTCTGTCATTGAGTACAATCTTATGTCAATAGCAAGACAAATCTCTTTTTTTGTGACATAACAACTATTTCTGAAACCAACTTCCTGAAACTTCCATCAACTAGAAGAATGAGTAAAACAGTTGCCAGCATTATCATGTAACTCAAAGGCCGGTTTTATCTTTTAGTTCAACCTTCCAAATCATTGAAAACAAACACAAGTTTCACTCTAAAGAGAGCTTTGATACCATGTGAGATATGTGAGATTGGGAGAATGCATAAGTACTATGTCTTACACTTAGAAGCTTTTACATACACGCTATAAATTACGAATTGTTATTTCCATATTGCGCATTATTAATTTATTATAAGCATTTACATATACTTACACATATGACAAATCTAACAGAGATCAACCAACAACTAGCACAATACTTGCAATGGATAGTAGCTACTTATGCAACAATTTTATTTAACAGGATATGAAAGAAGTGTATTTAAAGATATAAGGGCCCATAAAGTGCAAAAACTTAGTTTACCCAGTGGTAGGTGTTACAATGACATCTACTTTCTTGAAAATCTCCATGTGGTAGTACATTATCCTTCGCCTGCAATAAGAGACACAAGAAAGCTGAAATAAGTTGAACAAATTTTATCATATTTCTAAATGCAATTCTGTAGCGAGTCTTGGAATCCTTTAATATTTACATAAAATCTAGTAGTACATCTGACACTTAACACGTTGCCAAACATAAGACAGAAAGAACCATTAGATGACACTTCAGAAATACAAAGTAACTATGGAGTAAACTAACAATGAAATTAAAGGCGTGAACATGCATTCTGATGTGCTCTTCTAGTAGAAGATAAATTTGTTTCCATGCACAAGCTCAGAGAATATCTTGTTCTAGTTGAAAATTTAAAATCAGGATATGAAGATGATAACTTTTAAGCTTTTACACACAATGAGCTTAAAGTGAGGTAAGCAAAACCTAAAATTAAAGCTAGGAAAGTCTATCTAGATGTAGAATCATATGTATATGCCACTGATCCACAACACAAATGCAGTTTCCACATCCCTAATTCGATATTAAAACAAACAACAACTGAACAAATTGTTTCAACATGTATTAAGTAATTCAGTAACTTATTTTTTAACTAAGGCGCTGGACAGAAACATAATCTGATGTTGCAAATGATCTGAAGAGTGCTAGATTTGTGCGAGTATCATTAGTCAATCTTACTCCTTTCGTACATAAAATGAAAAAAAGTTATATTAGTCCAAACTACAAGATTGCAAGCAGTTGTACTAATAGCTTGAATGGAAAATAGATATACCCATCCTCGCAATCAGGATTCAATAAGCATAGTGATTCAGATCCAAAACTAACAGTATGGGCTCTGCGCAGCTCACGAAGCTCCGGTATGACGATCTCTGTTGTCTTGATTGCAAAGAGTAAAGCAATAAAAATAGAATAACAAAGTTACATCCAGAAACTGAATCTTAATTTAAGCATAAGGTCTTCTGAAATAGATGACAGAGGGTAATAAAGGGTGATACGGACTTACTTTGCACCCATGCAGATGAAATAATTGGTTTAGGACATCTTCACTCCGCGTTCGCAAGTGTTCCATGTTCAGTTTCCGATTTATGTGTTTGGAAGAAGTAGTCAATATCCCCGAGGGTAAAAGTTGCCAGGGCTAGGGATTGGTCCAGGTATCCCCCACTCGCAAGCACCAATATTTGTTAGACGAAATTTTCAAAATAAAGAAACTTAGTTGTATGCAGTTATTAGAACTTAACTCAGAGTCCATGCTACAGTTCAGCTTTCAGATTTCATGGTACAGTTTTTTTTTTGATGAAGTAAGAAAGATATCATTGAAAGGAATCAAGTTGATGCAGAATAATTACAAAAGCAAAAGTAGTGTTAGCTCAAGTACAATGGTCTCTAAGCTAAGTTTAAGGAGCTAACAAAATCCAAAAAACTAACTGGGCAATTTACAGGGGTAAGAGTACACCAGCTCAGATTTCATGGTACAGTTCAGCTTTCAGATTTCAATGTTTACTTATTTAATTTCTTAAGTTATATTTATTGCATCCTTATTATAACTGTTTAGTCTAAAAAAGTCTCGTCATCCGCTTAGGGAGTGATAAACAAGACTTACTGGGTACCCTTGAAAATACTTAGCCCGTTTGAGCGTGCCACATTGTGTGGCAGGGCAGGTGACGAAACTCGTGGATAGTTTTCGGACTTCTTAGATCCAGTAGCATACTGTGTTGATTTCTTTCCAGCGGTAGTCCACTATTTCCAGACCTTCAGTTATTTAGATATTTTTGTTATCCCAGGGGAATGCCCCGAAGACATTGTTCTCAATTTTAGTCCTTAGAGGCTGATGGCTTGTTATTGGTGGGTTCAGATTTTCTGATAAAGTTTTTCTAAACTCTTTTAGTTATTTCTTTTAGATGGTATCGTTAAAAGTTATTCATAATTGGTTAGCTTAATTAACCTTATCAGCACTTACAATTAGAAAGAACAAGGCTTGCTCGGCGAGTAAAATAGGCCGAGCGCCATCACGTCCCACCCCAGTTTCGGGACGTGACACTTAGACTCTAAGAGTTAGCCTTGAAAATTTTCTAACTATTACTCAAACCAATTCCCCTTATTATTCTCTTAGTTTTATGGACTAACATCAATAACTATGCCTGAGTCCTAAACAATGTTGAGGTCGACTATATGAATCCTACTTCTTTCGTTAAGGTCAACTCATATCATAATCATACCAAGTAATACTCTCTCCATTTCAATTTGTTCGAACCTATGTGATTGGGCGCGAAGTTTAAGGAAAAAGAGGACTTTTGAGACTTGTAGTCCAAAACAATCTATAAATATTTGTGCGGCTATAATTCATCTGATTAACGGTGAAATAGGAAGTTTAAAGTTACATTTCCAAATTTAGAAAGGGGTCATTCTTTTTGGAACTGACAAAAAGGAAATACGTTCCTTCTTTTTGAAACGGAGGGAATAGTTGTAATAATAATAATAATAATAATAATAATAATAATAATAATAATAATAATAATAATAATAATAATAATAAGGCGAAATACATAAACGGCCCCTTCAAGTTGTCCTCAACGATCATTTGAACACCTCAACTGAGACAATTTTCAGCTAGACACTTCAAGTGACTGTTAAGTATATCTAGTAGACACCTCACAGTGACATGGCAAGTTACGTGTATTTTAATTGCGTTTGGGCGCGTGAGGTTTTATCAGACTTTTTCTTTTTTGTTTTAGAATTAAATTAAATTAAATTTTGAAAGTGGGTCCCACATTATTTTATTTTTTTTCACTCAAAAATGTGTCAGCAATAATATTAGACCTTTTTCACCCAAAATTTCATGTCAACCTTCCTCACCCCAACATAAGTAGCTCCACTGCCTTAAGCTACTACCGGAGCAGTGGCCGGAAGTTTGGCCGGAGCCTTCACTGGTCTATTTTTTTTTTGAAGCAGATACACTAATTTGATGCCACTTTTTGGTCTTAATGATGATACCATATAGATGGTGGACAAACTAAGCGATGAGTACTAACTGCATACCACTATATCCTGGAAACTTAAAATCTGTGAGGGGTGAAATATTTTGGTCTTTTTTTCTCCCCTTGGGTGAGTGGGCAAGCAATCTGCTTCTGATACTTTTTCAGGTTCTGTTCATTGACAAGCAATTGTCATGTAAATAATGTGTCTCCTCATCATATTTCCGTTACTGTTGCAATTACTGTCGTTCCTGATTTTTTCTGGTTTGGCCTAGGGATAAAATTGTGGACTTTCACTGGAATGTATCGGATCCATGGACTATTGTTACTGCCCCTCTCAAATTTGTGGCTATGGCTAAAGAAGATACCGTGTTTAAGGAGCAGTTGTGATGTGATGGTTTCAAGGATTTAAAAGACCAATTTTGGATTTTGTAAACCTTATGGTGGAGGTGGCGCTGGTTTTGGTTTGGAAGAAGAAGATGAAGTTGGAGGGGGAGGAGGAGAAAGGGCGCTGGAAAGAACAATTTTGGAAAGGGTTTTTTCTTCTTTAAATTCATTTTGTTTTTTTGGTTAATTTGTGTTAAGTTTTAATTACAAATTACACGTGTCGTTCATTGATTGGCTCATTTGGCAAGTGTAACTCACGCATCTGGTATGTTGCACTGGGGTGTGTATTTGATTTACTTAACAGTCACTTGAAATGTCTAGCTGGAAATGGTGTCAGTTGAGGTGTTCAAATGATCGTTGAGGACAACTTGAAGGGGCCGTTTATGTATTTCGCCTAATAATAATAATAATAATAAAAATAAACTAATTAAAAATAAAACATAGTACTAACATTAAAGTTCTCTAACAAATTTAAAGCTTATTCCTAACTAGTAAGTATCAGCTATATGGATCTTTTTCTTCTTTTTTATCTTATCTTTAGCTAAGTCTCCACTTATTCCAAGAATTTGTAGATCTTTTGAGATAACTTGCAAGGATTTGTAGGTCTCCATTGTGCCCTATCTTTAGCTAAGTGTACATGGACCACCTGATTTTTTTTTTAATGTGGGCCACATGATTATTGTTTGTATGTTATTTGTATATGCGAGATGTTACAAAGAGAAAATAAGACACCAACTTCAAAGTTACGACTAACTCAAGAGGACATAGCAAATTGTTCATCTGATCTACTGAACAAAGTAGGAAATTGTTTTCAAATGATATGAAGGCAGGCGGAAAATTTGTAAATGTCATCAGGACAATCACATAGATAAAACTGTAGATCTCCACTTGCTTGATGCCTATCGCCCTAGTATCCTTATGCATGAAGATAATCAATTCGGTCATTGTGGTCAGACTCTATTATGAATTTCTGACCACATTCTCCATAGGGCCCTCTTATCTCTTCCTTCTTCGAGCTCTGGTTATGGAAGAAGGAACCGAGAAGAAGGTATCAGCAACAACTGGTTTTATTACGGGACAGCTCATGATGTTAGGCTTAACCGTTTTAGAACCATCAATGATTGGTGAACCGGCAGATCCGTTTGCAATCCCTTTGGAAATATTACCTGAATGGTATTTCTTTCCTGTATTTCAAATATTTCGTACAGTGCCCAATAAATTATTGGGGGTTCTTTTAATAATTTCAGTACCTGCGGAATTATTAACAGCAAGGCAACTGTGACAAAGCATAATTCATACAAATTTATTAAAGTCTATTTTGTATAGAAGCAGGTTGATGAAACATAAAAGATGGAAAACTGAATTAAATGACACTTGTACCTTAAGGGAGTTGTTTTCTGACCCTGAACTTTCGGGGGCAAAAAAAGCTAAATCATCATCGTCCTCCTCAAGCTCTTCATCAGGGATTCTTTTGATTATCTCTCTTGAACCCTGATTTGAAATCACAAGACCAACAAAGCTTCATAAGAAATTAAAGCTCTTAGAAATACCTATGAACAAGTAACAGGTATTCAGACTATCATATACCAACCTGGAAAACTGATCTTATGAAAGCTTCATCTTTTTCCTCCAGCTTCCTCGCCTATCAGGGCAAGAATTAATATGGTAAACAAGACAGTCCATCAAATGTTTCACCTACTCATCAACTAATTATAAAAATGTTCTTCAACAGATCTTCATGAACCATCACGATCCGGTGAAGAGTGGCACTACTGGGGCTCCCCTATTAGTTAGTAGAGCTAAATCACATAATTGTTTTCATCACCAATCATTTAAGTGAATACTTTCTTTTAAACTCCTTCGACTCTTCAAACTTCTTACTGGACTCAACCTTCTACAGATATTTTCAGTGCTAAAAGCCTCTGTGATTCTTCACTACCGGTTAAACATCTTCAATGATAGTTTGAAATGTGTGGTTTCACCTATTTCTTTTAATTTTGGTTATCCCCTCTCTCCCAGAGTTTTAACGGGTGTCTTGAGGTTGAGATAGGCAATCACTCAACATCTAATACGAGATAGTGTTCAAGAAGTAAATAGAAGAATTTATTCTTAATTGTAAGAGCTATATGAGCATATAGAATCCAAAAAAATGGTCCAGAATCCCGATAGTAGAACATGTTGATTTGATCTGATAAACTACTATGGCTTTTCAAAGCTTTGATCACAACTAATCTCAAGCAAAAGCCACAGTATGTGTCAAAAGAAGTTCATAACATCCAGCAACTTAACTTTATGTAGGAATGAACTTGAAGTCCTCTAAATTTGTAAATCAACAGTATTGTGATAATGCTGAACACTAGTCATCAAGGACAACATTTTCACTTCTATTCAAGTGGGAAAACAATATAAAACACAGTCATACCTTTGCCTCATCTGCGCGCTGCAAAGCTTCAAGCATTGCATCTACGCTCACAGTTGCACTGGAAAAATGGAAGATCAAAGGTAAGAAACTAACAGAATAAAAATATATAAAACACGGCAATATAGTGCGGAAAAGACATAGATAAGTGTAAACCTTGATCACAAAATAATTTAGTCAAGAAAATAGTGAAGAAATAACTTCAAGACTCACCTTCATGGATTTCATCTCATCTAATGCAGCCATAATATCCATTTCTCTCTTCGAATCCAACGTTCTATTTTGTAATGATTTCATTGCATCACCCAGCATCTCTTTTTTGTTTCTCCTTCTCCATTTCCTAAGCAAAAAGAAACATAAACATGAATGCACAAGATACCGGAACCTACTAACCTAAAAATTAGAAAATTATATAAACATAGGGTTCACACTCCTTCTACTGGGGAAGAAAGTAGTGAATAGGACTTTAAGTTGAAAAAATTCTTACCTCATCTTGGCCACGCCAAGGCTCAAAATTCCTAGTTGCACCTGATTCAACAGTATAATCGAAATTTTTTGGATCTGTCTTATATGTAATCTCAGCGGAGCACTTTGTGCACTTGAAGTAGAACCTGAAGATTTGTATTCCTAAGTAGGTCTGCATAATTTGACACGTGATTATAAGTCGCATCAACATATACATACATAGATATCAATATATATACACACAGAAACATATGAATATATTAGACTGATTTCTACTACAGTGTAACTATTGAAAGAATTATCACTACCTGACCATTCCAAAAAGAAGAATTATCACTGCCTAACTTACTGCTCAAATTTCTATAAACAAAGGGGCATACTGGGTAAGGACTTCAGACTGGCTAGTTAGTATATTTAATGTCAAGCCACTCTCTCTTAAACTAAAAAATAAATTTCTTAACAAGATGCCTCTTATAGACTTATACACAACATGTTTTCATTGCAAGAAGTCAGACACTAGATGCTTTATTTTTATTGTTGGCTTGTTGCGTTTTTGTAAACAAATTTTAGATGCTTCTCTAATTGTTAATGAGACACTATCAATTTCTTTGATTTTTATTAAAATAAAGGGATAAAATAGCCACTTTCAAGAGCTTTAGGATGAAATTCCAAATTTCTTTGCAATCTTGACTTGCAAAAAGCATGTGCCAAGCACTTTTCTCCTTTCTTAATATTCAGCTGGACAAAATGGGTTTAAGGTGGGATCTGGTTGTTTATTTTCATTCTCATGTTCCGGGTCCTGATTATTGTTTTTGATAAAGTAAGTGATTTTAATAGATGGCATCAAGAAGATGCAAGATGTACATGATTTGGCATTTGAGCTTATAAAAAATATTCTGGCTCCTATACATAATTGGCTAAGCCAGAGCTAAGGAACTAATGAAATCTAAAAGTTGATCAATATTGTTGATAGGGTACAGTCTAGACCAAAAAAAATTGGCAATACACATAGCCTTTAAAGAACCTATAGGAGTTGAGTTTCCATCAAAACATCTCTTGTTTCTCTCTGTCCAAATGCACCAGAAAATACAAGCAGGGACCATTGACCAGATTTTCCTGATGGCTTTATCAACTCTCCATAAACTCCAGCTCTTATAAGACTCCTTCACTGTGTAAGGGGTGACCCATTTGAGACCAAAAAGGAAAAAAAACATGTACCGTATGTCTGAAGCCACCTCACAGTGTAGGAGCAAGTGGCAGGTACTTTCAACTTCCTTTTGACACATGTAGCATCTATTAGGTAACTGGAAGTTCCTTTTCTTCAGGTTGTCTTGTGTGAGGCATGCCTCATATAATGCTGTCCAGGTGTAACAGATAACCTTTGGTGGCAGCTTGGTTCTCCAAATAAGTTTCCAAGGCCAGTTGTCTATCATGGTATTACTATAACACATCTGTTGATATCCCACCTTGACTGTGTAGATGCCTCCACCATGATTCCCTCATTTAAGTCTATCCACTGCTTGGGGGTTAACATTGCTTTATTGTAGTCTTGCATAGAGGTCTAGCAGCTCGTTTATTTCCCAATCATGCATGTCCCTTCTAAACTTCAAGTCCCAATTGACCACTTCCCTGTATGTAGCAATAACAGCATTAGGGTCTTGGGCTATGGTGAAAGTTAGGGAATTCAACTTGAAGGGTCGAGTTTCCAAGCCATTTATCCTTTCAGAATCTGATGTATGTACCATTCCCAACTTCAAAGTGGATGTTCTGAGCAAAAGTACTCCATAATTTGCTGATGCCTTTCCATAATCCCACACCGTATGGAGCACTTGAGACTTTTGAACACCAGTGATTCAGCTCTCCATGCTTGGCTTTGATGACAACTTTCCAGAACCCAACATCCTCCATTTTGTATCTCCACAGCCACTTCTTCATCATGCTTTTATTGTGTGCTGCTAGATCTTTAATTCCCAACCCCCCTTGAGTTTTTGGATGGGTAACCTTTTTCCACTTGATCAAGTGGAATTTATGTCGTTCATTATTGTCCTCCCAAAAAAAGTTTCTTCTTAACTTATCAAGTTGCTTCAAAACCTTTGCTGGAATTGGAAATAAAGCATGTAGTAAGTTGGCATGCTATCCAATACACTGTTGATGAGTGTTAATCTGCCCCCAAATAAAAGATATTGCATCATGATGCAAGTTTCTTCTCAAACTTTTCTATGATCCCATTCCAAATTTCAGTGGATCTAAATTTTGCTCCCAAAGGTAAACCAAGATAAGTAGATGGAAATGAACCAATTTTACATCCCATACTACCAGCCAGCTCATCCAGATTTGGGACTTCATTAACAGGATAAATGGTACTCTTCGACATGTTCATGTGCAAACCTGAAATAGCTTCAAAAATGAATAAAGTTAGGTTTAGCTAGATCACTTGAGACCTCTCAGCTCCACAAAAAATTAGTGTATCATCTGCATAAAGCAGATGAGATACAACAGTTTGAGTCCCAACATTCCTCCCAATTTTGAAGGCTTCTATCCACTGTAACCGACTGGCTTTCTGCAGCATTTTACTAAGTCCTTCCATGGCCAAGATGAAGAGGAACGGTGAGATACGGTCACCACGAGCCAAAGTTGAAGTAGCAGATTGCAGCCTTCGAAGTGTTTTGCTCCTCGTTAACACTTCTCTAAGGCTCGGTATATGTCTGCAATGATCATGGGCACAATGTTGAATGCCTGCCCACCAATCCCCTCCATTAGGGTTTTGGTTACCATAACCAGCCTAGTATGAATTCTACCTTTTTTCATCGGAAATACGATTAAACCCAGGAAGCAAAACATGAAGACGAAAACCCTGCGATGGATGTGTCCCAAGGATGTGATGGCAAACTCATCAGGGTAGGTATGGTAGGATTTGCTGTGACCGTACCTTTCATATAGGTAGTCAAAAGGGATGTATGATTCCTTTAGGCATGTCAATTCCGCATTCTTCTTCAAACCCATCATTTTAAGGAAACCTCTACCTGTGCGATTCTCGGGCATTAGCAGACCCGGAGTTTCCCACACTAGACCGGCCAGTCCTCCCATCTCCTCTAGCAGAGGTGTCATCTCAATGTCCCCAAAGCGGAACACGGCCCTCTCACAATCCCAAAACAACGTAACAGCTTCTATGATCATGTTATTAGGTTGAATCTCTAGGAGGGATGGTAGATTGCCCAGATATTTTCTGACGAGGGTTTGGTCACTCGAATGTGGATCTCTCCACCAGCTTAGCAATCTTGGGTGGATGTTGGTGACCATGCCAAATCTGGGGACTTCGTGCCTCATCTTTCTGCAAGGCAAACAAGGTTAGGCTCTTACCCCCGCCAGACTCGACTTATTTAACATCAACAATTAGCATGAAGCATTTAATTCTCCAAATAAATGCACAGAACATGATGATGTTCGTTTGGGTTTTAGGGAAACCCAGTGGACTTTGGATAAGGCTATCTTAAAGGATCATTATGTGGACAACATAACTGACCCGGCTAGGTTTGACCATGATGCATGCATATTTTAATAGAGTAAGGTTTCTATGGGGTTTTAGACTGGTACCCTTGAGCGGACAACTCAAGGGGGAAGGCACGGAACTGTCGACTGCACCGCTGATCAACTAGTTTTACCGCAAATACGACTTTCCGAATTTAGGGGGTAATGATATAGGAAGAGCGCAACCACTCATTAAGCGTTGCTATAGTATTTGTTTGGCACGAGTGGAGTATGATGTTGAGCATGATTATGCAACAATTGAAAAGCATGTTGACATGTATTTTCACGTTAAGAAAGTAATAAATACAGCAGTTTTTATAATTTAAGGCAACAAGTAAAGGAAGGAAACAAGAAAGATACGGCAGTTTTGCATTTTGAAGAAGAAACTAAATGCTTAAAGAAATTAAACAAGTAATTGCACATAAAGGGGGGGGGGGGGGTACAAATTCACAAGAACAATCTGAAATGGTAAAAGCCTAAAAAGAACTCCCCAGCAGAGTCGCCATGCTGTCGCGCACCCTTTTTCTCGCGAAATCGGGTTTATGACATTTGGTTGGGACAACTCTTTCCTTTTGGGAAAAGGGGTTTTGCGATTTTGAAGAGTCGCCACCTAACGATTTTAAGGTGCGTTAGGGCACCTATGGGGTTCAACTACAACTATGTTTGGTAACCTGAGATAGGGTAAGGGCTTGAAATTATCCTAAGGGGAAGGTGTTAGGCACCCCTCAGGATCCACTAGTGTGGTTCCCGACCAGATAGTTTTTTTTTTTTTTTGTGAATTTGTGCAATTAGCAAGTAAACAAATAAGGCTCAAGTAATAGGGGATTTTGAATTTAAATACGCAAGTGTTTGAAAAATAATAAAAGCAAGGTTTTGAAGAGAGTTATAACATGCTTGTGAATGTAAAAGGAGTCCTAGGTTTGTTTGTAATATGGATCACATCAATGCAATACCCGGTATGGCACTCCTCAAAAGAGGGGATACACGTGGTATTAGCGCACCGGTCATCATATCCATATCTACCCTTCCCACCCCGTGAAGGTATTAAAGCGATGATTGGTCTCGACCTCTATTGCATGCTGTTACCCGTCCCATTCCTATCAGTCCTGGAGATATTTAGGACTACTATTCCTATAAGAGGGAGGTTTTAGGCTGACTCTTAGGTTTAAAGGTAAAAAGGCTAAGGCGACATACAAAAACACATAGGACTGCATTTAAATAGGAGACATGTAACCAATTAGAAGGCTCATGTATACCTCCGCAAATAATGCATATAAACAGCACGACTTAAACACAGGTAAGGTCTGAATTTTAAAATCCTAAAGCAGGGTGTTTGAGCCAGAACCAGATTCATTATATAACTTAGAAAAGAAGTCTGAATCGGGCCTGTCTGCTGGTTGTAGCAGTTGATAATTAACCAAGGTAGTCCCAGTTTTATTTAAGTAATTACCTAGGCTTGCCTAGGCGTGATCAGGATTCAGTAGTTATTCAAGATTATTAAGACAATTGGAGATTATTATTATTACCTAAACATGTTGTTCTAGGTGTTTAGCCCATAGAATTGTTGCTAGTTAATTGCAAAGACTAAATAAAATTGTATTCCTTTTATGCGTTCATAATTAGCCTAAGCGTGCTTAAGC